TAGGGGGGTATAGGGGTGATATAGGGGGTATTGGGGGGGTAATGAGGGTGTTGAGGGCGGTTTGGGGGTGTATAGGGGTAAAGAGGGCCGCTATGAGGGTGTTGGTGGTGTTTTTTTTTGTTTCTTTTTTTTTTTTGCTGGGTGCCGACGACCCCAGACCGATAGGTGCCGACTACCGATCGGCCAGCAGGTCGGCAGCCAACCAGTCAAGGGCTGCCGACCGTCGGGGGGTGCAACCCTGACAGCAAATAAATAAATAAATAAATGCTGCCTCAAATCGAGTCCTGCGGCCCTAAGGTCGGCCGTGGGCCTCCAGGGCGCATGTCCAAAGGGCGTCGGGCCCCCAAATTGGGGCCCGTGTGCAGGCTCAGCATATAACACTACTGCTCATAGTGCTAGTCTACTGCTGGCCTTGCTTTTTGCCTGCCTTGTGCTTCGCTGCTTTGTTGCCTTGCTGCCTTGTTGCTTCGCTGTTCTGTGCTTCCTGCCTTGCCGCCTTGCCGCCTGCTGCTCATCGGGTCACAGTGCTGCTTGCCTTGTCGATGCTGCTTGCTGCCTCGCGTGCTGCCTTGTTGCCTAGTGCTCATAGTCCTCCCCTCTTGCTTGCCTTGCTGTTTGGCTGCCTTGTTGCCTTGCTCCTCCCTGGCATCCTTCCTCCTCCACACCCACTTCCTTCTCCTACCTGACCTGATCCGACCCTTCTGGAGTCAATCCCTCCCTTCCCCGACCCAATCCCGTTTAGCCCTGACTGCATTCCTCTCCTCTTGCCCTGCCTAGCTGCACAATTTTTTCTTGGACTTTTATTTTTTTCATAAAAGGAGACTGCCCCTATCATTATTGGCGTGGTCGGACTTGAGGAAGAAGAAGACGTGTACAGAGAGAGAAGAGAGCGAGAGATAGAGAGGAAGTAGGATTGTAGGTAGATTACGCGGGGAAGTACTATAACAGGTCACAACATAGAAGAGCAGAAAACTGTTGTTGTAATGATAACTGGAGGCGTGAAGTTGGTCTTTCTATATCAAGAGACTTCAGTGCATGTGTTTTCTCAATCGGTGTGATTTCAGCTTTGTAAAAATGACTTTCGACTTTGCTCTCATATGCAACCCTAGCTGACCCTATCCCGTCCTATACAATCCAACCCTATCCCATCCTATCCAATCCAATCCTGGCCAATTCAACACTATTCAACATCAAATAAACCTAATCCAATCGTCGCCTAGCCAAGCCTATCCCAGCCCATCCTATCCTGTCCCGTCCCGTCCTATGGCATCCTATCCCATCTCATATCATCCTACGCTATCCACTCCCATCCCATCCAGTCCAATCCAATCACATTCCATCTATGTCTTCTCTAACTATTAATCTAGCTATTAATCTATCTATCTGCTGATCTATATATCGATCAATCTATTGATCTATCCTATCCTACACCAAGGCAATCCTATCAATCTATCAGCCAACTGATTTTTATTTATTCATTCATATATGTATTTATTTTTAAAAGAAAAGAAGGTCCAGCTTGTAGTAGAGGGTGGTGGCCAGGCCTCAGGAAGTGCCTGTAGTTCTCACCCATTGGGAGGTCAGATAGATTGCAGGGACCCAAGGGGAGTCACCTCAAGATGGCATGGTACCATGACCGACGCTAATGCTCAGACCGCAAGTCGTGATCTGCGCCAATGCTTACCGGACTAACCCGAACGTCTTCGTGCAGACACTACCCCTACCCCTAACTCTAATGTTAAGGACGACCCGGGCACAGGTGGGGTCCATGCATATGCAGTCATCCCCCATCTGTGCCTCGTCCCGCAGACTCTACGGGCAGCGAACCGACCTTCCACTAAGATGCAATATCCCGCCCTCCCCTATCCTAATCATGATGCTTTCCTACCCAAGTCTCCCCAAGAATCCACAATCCCGACTAATTCCCCCAATGAGAATTCCCACGGACCCCAGCCCGGATGAAGCATCACCCGCAGGCATCATGAGATACCTGTGGGATGAGAGGTACCCAGTACCTATCCCAAACTAACACCCAGTGTGTGTGGAGGATTGTCCCCCCCGAGATGGGCCCTACCGTAGTCTAAGTTCGCTCTGCGTGGACTCTTACGGGTGCCAGAGTGATGGGAAACATACTAACTGTACCCAGGCTCGACCATGGTACCCCCACCTACTAGTACATACTGACGAGACTGACAGATCGGAGGGTCCTAGTGGCCACGCGGAGGTATCGACGGTTTCAAAAGTTTTCGGCAGTTTTTGGGTTATTGACAGTCTAGGCAGTAAACGCTCCCCCTTTTAATCTACCCTAACCTATCCCTCCCCCCTGCCCCCCCACCTTCCCATGATGCAGCCAAGATACGACCCTGAACCTCAGACCTCCTAAGACCAAGCATTCAAGCAGCCCTCCGTACGTCCCTATCCAGCATACTACAACCATGGACCTAGACTCTATCTACCTATCTATAGATACATCGATTGATCGGTCCAATCATCAATCAATCAGCCAATTTATTGATCTGTACATTGATTGACCAATCTGTCGATATCTATATCCATCCATCCATCTGTCGAACGATTGATCGCTCCGTTGATCCACCGATCTGTGGAACAATTGATCGATCTGTTGATCCATCCATCCATCAAACGACTGACCCGTTGATCCATCCACGTGTTGAAAAATCGATCGATCCAACCATCCATCCATCTGTCAAAAGATCGATTAATCGGTTGAACCATCTATTTGTCAAAGGATCGATCAATCCATCCATCTGTTGAATGATCGATCGATCAGTCAATCCATCCATCTCCTGCATGGTCAACCGATCCATCTGAT